CCAGCATGAATTCCTTGCTAGTCTAAGCTGGTCTAGGCTAGTTTATGCTGGTCTAGTGCTGGTCAAGACTGTTGACCAGTATTCCGGCATCCAAAACACAACCGGTTTTGCTGGTGACCAGCTGTGCTAATTTATGCTGGTTTTCCTAGCAGGGTTCCCTGTGTTTTGCACTGGAGCTGTGAGGCTAATGTAGCTAACAAGCAAGCTAAACAACCAATTAGCATTGTACTAACTGCATGCTTAAATCATCACTCTTGTCTTGAGTAGCTGAGTAATCTCAAAAAGACTTATTTATGTGGTTTTTGACACTGTATGGCATAATGTTAACTATAAAAAAAGTCAAAAATCGCAGGGCTAAAAACAGTAGCAGAGCCTCCTTGATGCCTGCATTTTGTCTGCACTTTTGTTTGATTTTATTTCAATGTCATACAGTGTGGGAACACGTAACACCACATGAACACATTTATTTGAGATGACTTAACAACCTGATGCAATTTGAGGCAATTGTGTGGTGATTTAGGCTGCAGTTTGCACAATGCTAATTGTGTAAGCTTCCAGTTAGCTACATTAGCCTTGTAGCCCCAGGACAAAGCTTAAGAAGCAAACCTCCTACAGTAAACATGTCTTGGTTGATTCAGTACATTTAAGGGTAGAGATATCTACAACCTGGGATGCATCAATAACACAACATGTTAGTTTTGCTGGTGACCATCGATGCTGGTCTATGCTAGTTTCCTCTCCAGGGACGTGTATTCTGAGTTTTTATATGCTGATAATGGTGAAAAGTGGGAAATCTGGAAAAAATGTATATATTTTCTTTGGGTACTGTGCACCTCCCCTTCTTGAATGAATTTTAAAAAATGTTTTGCAGCATAACCTTAGGGAATATATGGGGAAAACTGTGTAATTTTATTTTTTTTTATTATTTTTTTATATTAAAGTACTTTTACTTTAAGATTAAAGCCTACATCCTAGCTAAAGGTCAGAGGTCATAGGCTATTCTGGTCACCTGTATCTACTTCACTTTTTATTTTGGTGGGCCTACCGGTAGAGTCCTGTTCTCTCCCCTCCCTTAGCAAAGCCACAGTCACTCCCTCTAATCCGGCCTATCCCCCCTCTCTGCTCACCTATCCCCCCCACACCTCCCCCTCTCCTGCCCAGAGAGAGGTGTCACACAGAGCAGCCTTGTTTCCCTCCACTCCCTTCTTTCCACTGGGACCCCACAAACATCCCAGAAATCCCTGCTATTTCCGCCACCTTGTTTGTTTGGTGGGCGAGAAGGAGCGACTCTCTCACAAACACACACACAGAGAGGCAGAAACGAAAAACACACACACACACACACGGCCCAGTCACCGTGTTAAACCGGCACCGAGCACTGAGAGGTGTATGTTCTGCCTCCACACACTCACACACAGCTACAGCAGACAGAGCTCACCTCTGTTCATATTCTGACCTTGTGTGTATGTGTGTGAAGATGGCAGAGCTCGCTCTACTGGTGACCTCTGCGTATTGCGCGTTCCATTAAAGCAAAAGCTTTGGCAAAAATGAAATGTTCCCCATTACTCCAAATGAAGTCCACCAGCAATGACATGTTTGGTGTCTGGTTTGCTTCTTTAGTTTTCTATATAAGTAGTATCAGTGCAAAACTAAAGAAGCTAACCAGACACCAAACATGTCATTGCTGGTGGACTTCATTTGGAGTAATGGGGAAACGTGTACAGTTTCATTAATGCCAAATGAAGTCCACCAGCAGTGACATGTTTGGTGTCTGGTTAGCTTCTTTAGTTTTGCACTGATACTACTTATATAGAAAGCTAATGTAGAGGTTTCCTACCTGAGCCTGACAGGGCCTGAGAAGATATTAGATTTCAAGCCAGGTTTGCCTATTTTTCACATTCAGTATTGAGCTTGGGTGTTTTTTATGTAGGCTAATAGTTATTTTGTTATTTGTAGGAATGTCTACATAAATTTCATCCTCACAGATTTTCTTATTATATGTACGTTCTCTCCATACAATAGTCTTATATTTGCATAATTTCCCCTAAGCCTGACAGGTCCTGAAAAATATCTGGTTTTGGGCCGGGTGTCAGGCTGGGTTTGGGCCGTTTTTAACATACAGCATCAGGCTCAGGTCAGGTTTGGGTTTGTTTTCGAATTAGTGATTTTTTTATGTAGGCTAATAGTGTGTTGTTATTTTAAGGAATTTGCATAGTTTGAGTAATAGAAGTTAGAGACCTGCTACACAACCTGAGCATGACAGGGCGTGACAAAAAAATATCAGGTTTGGGACATTTTTTCAGATACAACATTGAGCTCGGGTCAGGCTCTGTTTACTCTCTAATGCCTTTTTGTAGGTTAGTCAATTTGTTGTTATTTGAAGGAATGTGCCAGCATATATTTCACATACTCTGTTATGTGCACTTTCTTTCTCTTATAGTCTAGTATGCATGCAGCCCTACTAAGTTAAGTGTTTTTCACTGACAAAATAAAAAAAAAGCTCACAAAACAGGAGTTGTGTACAATTCCAAATGAGTCAGAGACATCATCCTTGGGGAAAATGACCTGGTCATTATATCAGCTACAAAGCACAGTGCTCACCTACAAAGAAGGCCTAATGATTTTTGTGAAACAGGGTTTTGGTTGGAAAATTATACATTTAGGTCCAAAACAAAGCATTAATTACTTCAAAATGGAAAATGATCCACTTTTGTTGATGGTATTTATGTAGATACTAGATCTCCCATTGGTTAGTACTTTAGGAGCTGAACTGATGGCCTAATACACCAGTTTAACAACCAAAATAATTAGGAACTGACAGTGGAATTAACTAGTTACACTTGATTTACAAAGGGAGGGACCCATTTTGTGAGAAAATGTCACTCTAGGCCTCAAAATTACGGGTTTGGGTCTGGTTCAGGCTTTCATGTCTGCGCAGACCTCTAATAGAAGCCTAAAATGTTGTGTTTTGTATGCTGGTATGCTGGTATACCAGACCAGCATCAGACCAGCATAAACCAGCATGAACCAGCTTAGACCAACATGGAATTCATGCTGGTCTAAGCTGTTTTTTCAGCAGGGGACTCCACGCAAACTCAAAATAATATGAGTTTATTATGTTACATGCACAACATAAACACACTGCACTAGTATAAAACTGAAACTATATTGAAACTATACCTACCTTGAGCTGCCTTCGTGATATGTGTTTTCTCATGTTTTAGAAATACTGTTTTTATACAGAATAGTTTCTTTCATAACAGTTATGTTTCGTTATAGATTTACAGCTGCCTGGTGTCTCTGAAAGTGATCTTCACACCATATTTGATAATGAAATAGTCCAAAGTAGTACCGTCTTTTATGCCTTGCCCCACCTGAACTTGAACTCAGGCATGACTGTAATTTACCACACCTCTCACTTGTAATTATGCATTTGCAAAGGCCACACTTGAACTGAAAATTACAGTATTTTCAAAAGGGCTTGAAGACACTACAACAATCACCGCAGAGTACACTTGGAAATAGATTCGCCAATATTTGAGGAGTCTGAGCATGCTTTCTCTGATATGATAGCTGTTTATAGGAACGGATCATTACCTGTCCATCACTCATGTGCAGTACCGTGTTAAAGTATTAGGCATCTGGAGAAACATTTTGTGTATACCCATTCATCTGGGCAGTAAGTATTTATTTGTTGAAAAATACTTTACAATGAATTAATAAATAAATTAATGAACAACCTAGAAAAATGTATTTCATGAAGAAAATGCATAGTGATTGCGCAGCTTAAGCAATACTCAGTATTGATGGATGGTCGCTATGGGAATTTAGGCAGTTGTGGTAGGTGGCAGGTGGTTGCTAGGCTGTTGGAAAGGTATCCGGTGATTGGTAGAGTGTTAGTTGGTTGCTATGTTGTTCCAAGTGGATGTTGTTATACTCCAGGTGGTTGCTATGGTATTTAAAGTGATTGCTAGGTGGTTACTATAGTATCTTCAATGTTTGCTAGGTGGTTGTTATGGTGTTGCAGGAGTTTAATAGGATATCTCAGGTCACTGCTAGGGTGTTGCTAGTGCACTTGGATCATGATGACACGAGAGGGGTATGTAAACTTTTGCACAATCATTTTGGAGCAATCTGCCATTCATTCCTCCAAGGCTGTACATCCAATCAAAAAGCTGTATAAAAGCACACCTCTCACAATCAGACCTCTGGAGTCTGTTCAGTTTTGATAACTTGAAAATTGTGAACAAAAATGTAGCAGAAATATAAAAGAGAAGATGTGTAAAAACCTGTTGCACATTGTAACTGGTACATCCTACTAATTTTTCAAAAGTTCTGCATGATTAATGAAAGAGTTATTCAGAGTGGTTTCACAGTTTAGAAGCAGAATAACTGAAAGAGGCCTCTCCATGTTTTCTGTATTTTACAGAAGGTGTTTGCAGAAGGTCGGTATCTGCAGATCTAAAATCACGTGCCGGAACATAAACAGACAGATATTCTGTGGTCTTTTAGAGCCTTAAAAACTAATAGCAGAACTTTTTTTGTTTTTGTTAGGATGTGCGCTGCTGCATTTTGTTCGAGTTGTAAGGGATGTATTGTTTTCTTAACAAGTCCAGTAAGAAGAGCATTACAGTAGTCAACTCTGCTTGTAACAGAAGCATGAACAAGTTTCTCTGTGTTGCTTTGAGATAGAAAAGGCTGAACTTCATAGAAATAGATATAAAGCATAGATAGAAAGCTACTTAGTGACTGCTGGTCAACTCAAAACTATTGTAAAACAATGCCTCAAATTTTAGGCACTATATTCATAACCATTTCATGTAATAGCTTTCTGTGGTCTCAGCTTTTAAAGGAAATAAATGTCTGGCTCACATCATCACCACTGCCATTTCCAACTCTGTAAATTCAGAAAAATCAGTGAAATTCCACTTAACAATAGTTTAATAGAAAACTATAGAAAATAGAAAAACCTGCTCTTCAAACTAAGAAAGACATTTTGCTGAACATGTAGCTGAATATACCCAAAGCATTAGCAAATAGCCGTTTTATGGTTATGAAGTCTTCGCAAACACACAGAATAAAGAAGGTGAGGCATCTCAACACTTTTGGCCTGTAGGTTGTATTTGAATGTGTGTCTGCTAGTTGGTCAGTCAGGTGTGTTTGAGTCTGTGTTCTGTCCAGAGCGGTAAAGCAGGGACTTGTAGAGGGAAGAAAGGATCGCTGGGCACACAGCTGGGAGAAGGAGGAGGTGAATTTTCCGGAAGGACCAGCGGCACGTTCAGTAGACAGTCTGACTGAGAGATGGGAGGCAGGAAGTGTGGGCGTCGGTCTCTCCTTGTGGGACATGCCCCTTTCTCTACACTTTCAAGCCTACGGCCTTGTCTATTAGACTCTCTCTGGCACTCCCTTTGGTCTTTTTCTCTGTCCGTTATCCCCAAGCTGCTTAACCATTGGCAGATGTTGTCTTCCTGGCCTTTCTCAGGGGTCAGCAGTCGCTCTGATTGACTGTGTATTCCTGTAATGTTGATTTTCCTCCGTCTCCACTTCTCTTTCCTCTTTTCTGCAAGTCTTTCTGTAGTTGCCCCTGTTTCAGATGAGTGTACCTCACTCTGTGTGAAAGGAGACACAGTGCTTCTCCGTCTGTGGGTTTTTGGTGGAGGATTATGAGCTGCATTGTTTTGCCTGTGTGCAGTTCTTGCTGGGATTAGCATTTTATTGGTGAGGCTAATGTTGGGCCTTAAATGCAAATGTTTGCCTTTATCTGCTTGAGCCTGAGAGCTAGCAAATGTGAGGATTTTGGGCTCTCTAACGTGGCTCTCTCTACGTGGTGTTATCTCTTGCTGAGGCAGGCCGAGTTTGTGGGTCACAATGTCTGGCAGAGAGTCCAAATCATGTGTAACCAAGTTCATGTGTAAGCTGGAGCGAATATGGCCTTTTAAAGGCAGTCCTCTCTCAGAAGCTCTGCTGGGTGCTTGAGGCCATGAATGAGCAGCTTCATTAGCATTAGAATTAGCAGGTAACACAGCCCTAGCCCTGTGCAGGGCCGATCGTAAACGGCGGTGGGGCGGCAAGCTGGCAGACAGGCCGGTCAGGCCGATGGATCGGAAGAGAGGTGGTGGACGGAGGGTGCTTTTGCCAACCCCGTCACCTTCCATCTCACCTTTTTGTGTGGAGCTGTAATGAGAGGAGTCAGAGCTGAGCACTAAATTGGGTGGGACATCTGGAGCAGGCTGACACACGGTACAGGAAATTGTACAGGCCAGAGGAGAGACTGAAACAGCTTGACCCGAAGAGAAGTGAGAGAGTTTGAAAGAGGGAAAAGTCCTAAGAGAGAGACAGAGAGTGAGAGTATTAATATAATAATGCTGGTGATGCTTCAAGGAGGATCATCAGCATGTGGGGAAAGATAACTGGGAGAACTAAAGGACTAATTTAGTTTTAAACAGCTTGCTAGATGATATTAAATATTAAAACTTGCAAAATTCTGAAAATAAAATACTTCTTGGCTTCCCAGAGACATCTAAAGCTGACTTCCAGAGCGACTATGCTACATACTATAATACACCTTGTATTTTAATAGGTAAAGCACACGTATGTGGCTTTGGATCATCGTACAGCAGTCTGAAGTTTCTCCAGTAGGGGGCGCTATTAGCACATACATTGTTTTCATATTTGTCTTTTAGAGACGAAACAGCCTCAAACCTCAGCAGGATGTAATGAATCCTCGTGTTTGTAGCAACAACTTCCAAAACTAGAGGTAAAAAAAGTGTATTTCCACAAGATATTAAGTTACTCAGTATTTTTATGTGATTTCCTATAAAGAATTTCATTAAATCAGTTAAAAACTGTATACAACACAGTTGCTCTGGATCATGTTTGAGTGTGTCACTGTTGATCTGCTGCTGCTCAACCTGTTTGAACATGTCTGTGCTGACCAGCGCAGGAGAACAAAGGCCACAAACAGCATTTTTTAATCAATCATCACTTAGATCACAAGGTGCTAGCTCACTATTAGTACCAGAAATTAATAGAGTTACATCAGGAGGTAGAGCCTTTTCAGACAAAGCCCTTTAGTTTTGAAACAACCTTCCAGTCAGTGTTCGGGACTCAGACACAGCCTCAGTCTTTAAATCTAGGCCAAAAACCTACTTGTTTGGTCGAGCCTTTGGTAATTAGTTCTCCCATTAGATAAAAGGTGCAGATCTGGGGGTTCTTGGACATTACGGAAAACTGAGATTGTCGGTGCTGTCGTCTCACTGCTCTCACACTTGCACATTGCTTCACCTGCCTCACAATACACTGAGCTCTTGACATATTCATACAGATCATCATAATAGGCTTCTAACAGCTGTCACTAAAGTTCATGGTTTTCACTGTGATTCGCTCCTAACATTAATCACTGGTCACAGTGGTCATCGGTTATCACTGATTAATCCAATACTTCTGTCCAATAACAGGCTGGTTCTTTTTCCTTTTCTCTAAATTCAATATTTTATATGAATTATAAAATCTTGTCCTCTGTTCATGTTGCTCCTGCGTTTTTGTTTTGCTATCTGGTGTAGACCAGAGGAGGATGGATTCCCCTCCTCCTCATAAAATGGAAAAGTGTGCAGTGCTCTATTACAAATAAACATACTCTGCTGTGCTACATTTGAAAGCACCTAAACTTTATGTGTTTTTACATTTATTTCTCTTCAAAGATGCAATGTTTTCACCAGGTGCTGCAGTCTTATTTCGCCAATTGGACTTTGACCAACAAAATAAAAGCAAATTAAATGTTGGCAGTTCTCTTTTTCCTGTTTGCTTGTATCAAAAATGTATTGTATCATGTTGCAAGAACCACAATGCATATTGTATTGTGACATTTGTGCATCATTACACCCCTAAAAAGACCCTTCCTAGGATTTAGAGACAAGGGAAAGATGAATGAAAAAAAGGCAGTAACAAAACAAGCAGCACAAGCATTAAAGTGGACAACTGTCCAATAACAGGCTGGTTCTTTTTCCTTTTCTCTAAATTCGATATTTTATATGAATTGTAAAATCTTGTCCTCTATTCATGTTACTCCTGCGTTTTTGTTTTGCTATCTAGTGTAGACCAGAGGAGGATGGGTTCCCCTTCTGAGTCTTGGTTCCTCTCAAGGTTTCTCCCTCTTGCTCTAAGGGAGTTTTTCCTTGCCACTGTCGCTATAGGCTTGCTCATGGGGGCTCAGACCCGAATTTTCTGTAAAGCTACCCTGTGATAACGGCTGTTGTAAAAAGCGCTATATAAATAAACTTTGACTTGGCTTGATTTGTCTTTTGAGACTAAAAATACTTTAAAAAAGTTAAAGCGCTTAAGCCTGAGGAAAGCTGTAAGTTATAAAAAGATATTTTATTTATAAGCTATGTACGGTGATTCCAAATTTTTGAATGATAACGTATATTAATAAAATTAATTGCATCATTACACCCCTAAACATTTGTGCATCATTACACCCCTAAAAAGACCCTTCCTAGGATTTAGAGACAAGGGAAAGATGAATAAAAAAGAGGCTGTAACAAAACAAGCAGCACAAGCATTAAAGTGGACAACTGGACATGAACAAACAAGTCTATTACTGAAAGAAAAGAACAGAACACAAACAAGCCAGTCAGCAGAGCCAAGCAACACCACATGATCATTTCTCACTCTGGCAAATAGAAGCTGAGAAAGAAAATAAAGAGAGGAAAAGACAGAATGAAAGAGGAAAGGATAACTCACAGGCTCTGATGTTTGTCCCTCTTTTCAGAAGGCACGGCAGCCTCAGCCTCCCGTTACCATGGAGCCTCCCAGGGCCGCCTCTAAATCCTCCACTTCTGCACCCTCTCTCCATCTCTCACGAGCACTCTCTATCAACCTCTCCCTTATTCTCCCCATCTCCCTCTCTCTCTCTCTCTCTCTTCTCTCTCCATCCACACGACTCTCCCTCCGTTGATCAAACAAACAACCCCCCCACCTTTCATCCCGTGCTTGCCCTCTCTCCTACATGAAAAGATGACCAACTCCTGTTTTCCCTTTCATGCCTGTCCCTCCATCAATTATAAAACAGGATGGTCAGACAATGTCTGTGTGGCAAGTGGGAGAAATAAACATAAGAAAGAATTAGTGGACAATCAGCGCAGAATCTTTCTCCCTTATTATTCCATTAAATTCATGTAAAGATTAAAGAGGCACTGAAATGATTTAATGCTCTGAGCACAGAAAGCAATAGGCTGCTGAGGTCAACATTCAAAAACGATTATGCCAATTAGCTCTGAGACTCCAGGGCCATCACAGTACAGGACACGCCCCAGCCAGCAGCGATGTTAAGATAATTTAAAGGAGAATTCCAAACATATTTAAATATTTCTGCTTACCAAGTCAGAATCGTTCACAGTGGTGGTGATAGGAACCAGACGTCTGAACAGTTTAACGCTTCTAAAAAAAAGTTACTACATGAAATGGTTATGAATGCACTCCCTGGTGCCTAAGACGTTGTTTCATGATAGTTTTGAGTCAAGATTTTGGACTAAAACATGTTTTTAAAAATGCAATCATGGTGGAAAGGTACATGAAGGGCACTGTAAGGCAAAACAGTCCCAAAATATATAATTTTTAGCTTCACCACTATTTTACTATTAGAAACGTTATGAAAGCTCAGAAAACATGTGTAGGTTCACTGTATAGTAAATAAAATGGCTATGTTTGTGTTGCAGACATTGTCAGTCAGTATAAGCTTCTCTAAAATTCTGGAATAGAGCATTTCACATCAACCAATGAATTATGCAGAAATTCAAAAATATCAGTGGAATTTCCCTTTAGCCCTTGTATGGTGTTCAGGTCTGTGGGAGTTTGAAATAGGACATTCTGAGTTATGAGCTTCATTTGAACGCGGCAAAATAATTAGATGCTCCTGAAGGCCTCCATCAGCTGTGTTACATTAGGACCAGAGCTAAAGGCTGCATCCTAAACCACATACTACCATACAAAAAAGTCAAATTGTCGCCACCAATAGTACTGCTTTCCTTGGTATAGTACCTATAGTATAGTACAGTACAGTGGCGTAACTAATGGAGGGTCGAGGGAGGGCTTGGGCAATAATTCAGGGGCCCATGGCACATCCATGAGTCAGAAAGATCAAATTTTTACACAGCATATCTCACAGTTAGCTTCTCTCAACACTACACAGACTACATTGACACTCACGTCTGTTTATGTTCCTTTTTTTCATAAAGCATCTCATCTGTGGCAACCATTTTCAATCAGATCCTTCACAACCTGCAGCATGATACAACCATTATTTATATTATTTATATGATTAAAATTAATTAGGTAGTCTAATTAATTAGGTAGTCTAACACAGCAGTTCTCAAACTTTTTTAGTAAGGTCCCCTTTGTGGATAATAGGTCCCACTGTGCCCCCCAGTTTGAGAAGGGCTGATCTAACATAAATGTTTAGGTTACTATGTTTGAGACATAGTAGTGACAAGTAAACAAGCAAATTACTTTGTCATTGCTTGACAGGGCTAAACTGCTGTGGGCTGAATAGGGGGATATATGTGAATGTGTATTTATTAAAACATTAACAGTGTCCAGACACCACATCAGTGGTTTTCAGCCTGTGGGTCGTAGCACCAGAGTGGACCGTGGTGGTACTGCTAGGGGGCCTTCGCCCATCAATGTTTATATATATGGGCATTTAACCAAACATAATTTCAAATAAGACATATTATTATTATTATTATTATTATTATTTTAAAAAATCACATTTAAATTCGAGCTCACTGATTGGTCTGAAAACGCATGACCAGTGTAATATAGCTAGGTAGTTATGTTTATGTTTCCATCAGTGTAAAACATCCCTGGTCAAAAAATTGTATGTGATTTTCAGTTTTTCCAATACAATCCTATAGGATTAAAAGACTTTCTCGCACTTTTAAAACGTCTTCTCTTTTTGCTTGTATGAAATTCACTCTTTTATTTCAGAAAACATAAAACAAGGAAACGTTGTGTTTCCACCAGACGGGCTCTTTAACATATGCTAATGATTAGCAGTTTAGCTAAGGCACAGAATGGACTCCAGTTGTAGTTGCGCACTAGACCGCCGGGCGGCGCTGCTCCTAAACTCAGCTGCTTTTGCGCTCACGGAAACAGTTCATCTCCAGGGGTCCGTGTGACCACACGGTTTTATAACTGCACAGCTTTATACGGTAAGTAGCATTAGTTTTTTTGCATATAAGGTTACCTTACCTCAGTAACTCGACTTTTGGGCCTCTTTAGGATTTAGACGAGTCTCCTCAGCGCGTTATTTTAGCTGGAAGTGAACCAGAGAAGCAGCACAAGGCGAGCGGAGGAGGAAAACAGGCAAAGTCACAGAGGTTATCGGGGGCAAAAAAGCCTAGCATGGCTTCAGAAACACACCTCAAACCTCAGAGACTGAGCAGCAGTACCGCGCTCCGTAAACCCGGCCGGACCTGCGTGTGTTTGTGTGAAACGGCCAAATGGTGTCCTGTAAATAAAACGGCTTTACTCACTTCAGTCAGTGCTCAGAAATCTTGCATAAGCCAGAGCTGTTTGTTGGGCAAAGGTGAAGTCAGCTTCTTATTAGCCAGCTTCTTGTTCAGGTTTTTCTGTTCCACCTTAAATGGTGCCAGTTATATTCTGGCGCCTACTTAGCTGGCACGTAGGAAGTCACCTTCATTCAGCCTGGTGTTTGTTTTGTTGGTGAGTGGTGATCTGTTGCAGAGGGGTCGAGAGTCCAGTCTTGGGGGGCCACACCACTTTGCCTCCTTTATTACTATAACTGATTCAGCTCAAAAACTCATTCCTAAAGCCAGCAAGAGCTGTGTTCAGTATTAGAAGACAAAAACCCTGATCTTTACATGATTGTGTTGTTCCAACTTTACTTTGTACAAAGTTTACTTTGGTTTAACACGAAATCAGTCTGCACATCCATATTTATTTTAATCACTTCACATTTTGTCATAGCAATATCCAAACAAAGTGTAGCATATCCAGTTTTATGTCCAGTTGTCACCCTTTTGGTTATTTGGTTTGTTATGCTGATCAGTGACGCCCCACATGATCCTTATTAATGTTATATATAACATATATGCACAAAGCCAGATTGGCTAGTCAATCATTGTTTATTTCTCTCAGATGGCTACTCGGCTGCTTGCACGGAGAATTTGGAGCATCTCTGTGAAAGATTTTCGCCGCCTGCCGGTGGCATCTTCCTCTTCATCATACTCTTCCTCACTGCGCCCCTCCCCCAGGCCACAGCACTTTCTGTCCCGCTCCCGCTCCCTCCCTCTGATTTCCTGTAGGGGCGTCTCATTCAACGTCCAGGACCACGACGACTTCACTGAGAGGGTCATCAACAGCGAGCTGCCCGTAGTCATAGACTTCCACGCACAGTACGTGTTCTGAACGCTCCGTTGATCTATATGTGCTTCACCCACAGTCGTGTTTGTTTGTAGCTACTGTGGCACTGTTGGACAAACTTTATCGTTTCCATCCAACCTAATGTGAAATTGTAATGCATAGATTTTTGTCAGATTACCTGACATTAGAGTGCATGATTCATTTTAAATGAAACTGATTTGGTATGCATGTCAGCAGCAACACCTTGAATGTAGCTCATCTGTTGGGTAATTGAGGTTTTTATGGATTTTATACATAAATGTCTGATTGATGGGCAAAGTTCAGTGTTTTCACATTGCTGACTAAGTTAACATCGTAGCCTGCACCACTAGCTACTATAGCATGAAAACTGAAATACAGACAGTTGGCAAATAAAGGAAAAGCAAGCATAAAGTGTCATAGTAATGTGTTAGGTCACCACGAGCTCACCATGAGCCTTGGCATAGATTCTCTGAAACAGTACTGGAAGCGTGAAACACCATTTTCCCCAAAAGATATCTCCTCATGTAATGTTTTGACGGTGCTGGTGGAGAGCATTGTCCAACATGCTAGTCCCAAATTTCCCATAGTTGTTCAGCTGGGTTGAGATATGGTGACTGTGAAGGCCATAACGTACGATTTACATAATCGTCGTACTTATCAAACCATTCAGTGATCCCTTATGCTTTTTGACCCATTATCGTTTCATTTAATTTGTGTTCTGTCTGTATATAAATGAAGTTAAGCTACTCGGAAACAGTGACAAAAAAGAGGCCTAGAAAAAAACTAAAGATGAACAGTCTTTAGTGGATCAAGCTGATGTTTATCTCTAAAAATCTTGATTACACCAAAAAATACACCCAGTTGATCCTAACGCTTAACTGTTCATCTGCATACAAAATAAATGTAATACAAAACTAATAACAAACTCTAAATGTAGGTATTTACACTTTCTCACTTTGCCAGCTTTTTAAAATTCTTGTTGAACTTGTCGCAACAATTTCTATAATTGGGAACGTAATTGTGGGTGGCGCATGCACGGATCAATGCTCATTCGTTCAGTCCCTCTCCTGATCCTCTATGGGCCTGTTAACTGTGTCGTCTCCACCCGTCTCTATTAGAAGTCTGTCTGAGGATTAACAACCCACACCAGGATCAAGTTCAAGCTCATTTGTTTTGTGCAAAGGGAAGGGGGATTGTAAAGTCAGTCCAATAGAGATTAAATTTTTTTAGTTTTTAATTGACAAAACTGACAAACTGATGCCATCGTGGTATTCTTTTCACGAGAACATTTAGTGCCAGAATTTTCCTGAACGTGATTTTGAGCTTGAAGCCTTAAGCATAAACGGTGGCTCTTGTGCATAGCCGTTACATTTTTGAGCAGTAGAAAGCAAGAGGGAGTGTGTTGTTGTGGATATCATCATGATTGTGATTCAGTCTAGCATGTGCCGAAGGTGAGTATTGTAGATGATTAAATATGCTTTAATATTACATTCCTGGTAGCCATTTGCATTAGGGATAGAGCCATAAAGCTGTCACAATATCAGGTTCAGATCAATATTTACCATATTAACCTGTTGTTTTGCTATAGCCAGTCTGTAAAGCTTTTTACAGCCCATCCTGTTTGCTGAATTGAATTTTCATTTCTGAATCATTCCAGTTTGGTTGTTCCACCCTCACAGCTGCCAACTGAAACACTCACTTAGGCACAGGTTTGGAATTTGATGTAGGCCTGCTGTCACACTTTTCATCAGACTGTGGTTGAGCAGGCTGCAGGTCAAATATTAAAGAAGTTATCAAATGTATCCATTTTCTGTAAGTTGTTTAGTAATTAATGCTATGGAATGATGGGAGTTATTGGTAAAAATGGAACTCTTCTCGACCAATCAGAATGTGCTGTCAAAACCAACTGTTGTATAATCATGACTCTTACTGAGTGTAGTAGTGTTATTATATCATAAGGCCTTGGCTGGGCCAGGGCCAAAAATTGCATTATCAGTTCTATGGCTCTGTCACATTAAATCAACAGTTTTGTGTGTAAACATGGATGTAGGTGATAGGTCTAGTTCCACAGACGCAGCCCAGTTTACACAGTCAGTGGATCAATGGTTTTGTTTTTTGTTTTGTTTTTTTTTAACAATTCTATCTATCTGTAGCAGTTCTCTCTGTTTGTAAGGCCAACATGGCTAACAACAAATACAACCTTGCACAAAACCAGTGACCTAAAGAAACACTCCAGCCAATTTCAACCTCATCTCTGTCTGCTGCTTCTGATATCATACCCTCACTTACTGCTGGATGGTATATCATTTGTACTAGTAGACTGTGATGCTGACAGAACATGATATTGCTTTTCACTTACAGTATTTTTGGTGTATATTTGATAGATAATGATATAATGAGCATAAAGTAGTGGTGTCCCTGTTTCCAAGCGGATTGTTTTCAGTTTTTTTATCCTGTTTTTCTGCACTCATACTGGACTTGACAGTTAACTGCAATGTATCTAATTTACTTGTATGCATAATTTATGCAGCACTAAGCATTGGCAGTCATGTTAGTATGTTTGGCTGGTCTGTCTTTAGAATCTGTCCTCTGCCCTGATCTCTGTTTATTGACTGAGAGTTACTACAGCCTGCTCAGCCACAGCAGGGATTAGGGCTGGAAAAGGCTTTTCCTTTGACCCTATCAGTCTGCAGTCTGAGACAAACAGCTACGTTTGGCCAACCCTGCGGGGCGTCATTTACATAGTAAGCTGTGTTTTTCCTGGCCACACTCCCTTGAAAACAAGCTGGTCTTTATGCAGCCTCTGCCATTTTGTGTGTTTCTGTGGTGTGGATTGGACAGTTATGTGTGTATTCTGTAGAAGCATGTTTGTTTGTGTGCTGAATTGGTGTTGTGGTAGCTTAATGTGTCTGTACTCTGAAGCTTCATGAAGCATGGTGTCGTTCGTAATGTATGTTTATATGTGTAAATGAATAAGTGGTGTAACAAGGTTTCTCATGTAATGTGTGTGTGTGTGTGTGTGTGTGTGTGTGTGTGTGTGTGTTTTTAAATAGATGGTGCGGACCCTGTAAGATCCTGGGGCCGAGGCTGGAAAAGGCCATTGCTAAGCAGAAGGGCCGTGTTGCCATGGCCAAAGTGGACATTGATGAACACACAGACCTTGCTATTGAATACGGGGTAAGAGCACGTTCACTGTCCTCACATACACACACAAACACACACTGCTGTGTTTTCCCACACCTCCTGGATCCACCTGGATCCTGTCTCACGAAGCATTTTCATTTTAAGCACTATTCAGATGGGGTTAGCGTTACATAGGGTTGTGGTGGGGTGATGTCATTTACCTGCAATGTTACTCCCATCTGAACCCATCATGTCAGTCATTTTTAGCAAAAAAATTTGCTGTTTAATCTGTTTTTTCAATCTTGCAGTGTCAGTACTGTTGTTGTGCTTATTTGAGATGTAAAGTTGTGATCTAACAAAGCCAAAAATGAATAGGTTTTTATTCGGTTCGTCACAAACTGAATTTTTAACATGAAAACAGAAGAATAAGAAAATAAGCCACATCAGTCACAGTATAATTATTCTTATTAAGCTAAACAGTGATCTCTTACAGATCCAAGCTGCTCTCCGAATGAAGACAGTGAAGACTTTGTGAGACACCAGTGCTGTTTTGTTAGCATTTATTTATTATTATATACATGTATTTTACAATAAATACACAAAATTAAGACAAAAATTATACAGCCCTTGTAAAATTGGGACGTTGTGCAAGATGTAAATGCAAGCAGAATGCAATGATGTGCAAATCATTTAAACCTTATATTTGAAATCTTTAATTGAAAATAGTACAAAGACAACGTATCAAATGTTGAAACTGAGACATTTTATTGTTTTGTGAAAAATATAGGCTCATTTTGAATCTCATGTCTTTTTTTTAAACTTGTTGCTGGCATCAAATTTAAATTAGGCATATAGACCACTGTAGTCGTGTGTCATTCTGTAGTCCTCGTTATGCCTGTGTTAAATAAAATGTTCAGAACCCGATACGTTTTGTCCTGTGAACATTCTTCTCTCGAATACCACTGGATCCTCTGGATTACGAGGTCGTTAAAAAGCTATAATACTTATATTGCTACATGCGAGCTAAAGCTACTGCGCATCAATTTGATGTCATTAAGCTACACAAAACTAAGGCAGGCTGTGGCAAGAACCACAAACAAGACAAAATACTGACCTGTCGATTCTGTTAAACAGCAAAATAAGTCAATGTTGCTCAGCTGTTAAGCGGAAATAGATAAACCTCCTTATATCATGCCTTTCAACCCTTAATGAAGTTGAAGTCAGCTTCTTTTTTTGCCAGCTGCTTGTTTGAATTTTCCCATTCCACCTTAAAATGGCGCAGCAACGTGACTGCTGCACCATTTAAGGTGGAACAGGAAAAGTCTGGCTAATGTCCTGAGAAAATGTCCTCAGAAAAATGTTACCAGCATTAAAATAATGATTAGAATATTCTGAGAGTCTAAATCAGTTTATCAGTAGTGAGCAGTGATTATTAAGCTGAGTCTGTAACTTACTGGAGTTCAGGTACGTTTGTAGATCTTTTCAAATCAAGCTAAAAGGAAAGCTTTATCGTGTTTCAGTGAGCATCAGATAAAGAACAGAGAACTGCAGGGAAACCTGCTGATTTTGTTCTGACTCCTTTTCATTTCCCCTCAGTCTGTATGGAAATGTTCACTGCCAAAACCTGCTTAAGG